TTTCTCAGGCTTCTTGTTTACGAGAAATACTGTGTGCAGTGAGTCAGTGGCTGAGTTTCGTATATTGTGAGGCATAATCGCTGAAATCCAACATATAAAAAATGGAAATAGTACCCCCAATACACTGAGAGACTCATGAATGACTGAACACTAATGCAATAATGATGACATCATTGTTGTTAATGTTAATTAACATGGACATTGCACTTCCGAGGTACACACTGTATTACTGGAATTCTTATTAGGCATTTCTCACAGATTTCTAGACAACAGCTCTTTCCTGGGAAATAATGAGGCTTACCAAGAACTGTATTTAACTTTTCATGTTAAAGAGAAAAAAAAACACAAGTCAAATTTGCATACCAAGTAAGTCTCTTCAAATTTCATAGTAAACAACCCGTTAAATCCTTTAGTTAGAACAAAGTGAATTATAAATAAAATGTAGTCTGCTTTATATGAAACTTTTCCTTCATTCCACCCTGCAGCCTGAGAGCTCTCAAAGGAAGGAAGATTGTCAATAATGAATAAGTAATGCTTTAAGCAACTTGCTTCCCACTGATTCATTAAAAGCATAAAAGGATGACAGAGAGAGGAAAATTGTACCATCTGTAAGTTAGACCGGTCGTTGCACACAAAGGAAAGTACAGGCGGTCAGGGTCCATCTGCTGTGACTTTAACAGTTTGAACAAGTAATTTCTTTTTTTCTCCCGTCTAGAACCATGTGTCATCGGCATTAAGCTTGCAGCTGCTGCCGCTCACATGTGCCAGAAGTGGGAGGGGGTGAACTTTGTTCCCAGAACACACCTGTTGGGTAGGGGAATAAAAAAAACCCCCACACACCCTCACACACAGCCCTCACATACCTGATTGTACAGTATGGAAATTTGAGAATGACACAAATGTCCACCGTATTAAATCCTGTCCCTGGGCTCAAAAGTTGTTTCACAGATACTAATAATGAACAAAGGCGGCCAAGCTATGATTTACCGTCTGTCTCCATGTGTTGGCTGCTGCTTGAGCTTAATTTACTGAACACTCAATAGTCTATTGATGAAACAGACCACAAAAAAGGGGAGCTAATAGCTACAATTAGGAAGCTCTACTGAACCAAAGAACATAACAGGTTTAGAAAAGATTAGATCTTGTAAAGCCTCCTTGTATGCTACGTAAACCAGAGGGCTTATTTAAATTAGTTCAGCCCTGCAATATTGGCACAGCTTGTACCCCTTTTAAGAAAGACTCAACAATGGATAATTTTATAATGGCTGTTTAGTGTAAATAGAGTCCTCAGGGGGATACAAAAGGACCCCCTAGAAGTGGTACCTTCATAATACCAAGCCCTTGGTTGGACAGTGTTGATCCTTAAAGTGACTAGTATGATATTTTATTTAACAAAAAAATACTGTTGTTATTCATGGTATATGAAACTAACCTCAGGTCTATTTGTAAATGATGTGAGAAATTATTAAACCATCCACAGTCCCATAGCTTTTCCTAACCCAAATCTTCCTGATGATGTATTGGTGTTACACTTTAAATATTTCTAAAAGTCTGGAATATTTGTTTTCTGTTGTTGATTAAGAAGGATGAGAAATTTCTTCTCTTAATTATGCATTAAAAAAATGACATGTCTGCAGTTTGAACA